AACAAAATTGATAAGTTACAATGGAATAGCGAATTAACTTTTTCCTTTTTTTTTTATTTTTGAAATTCATTTAAAATAAACAGTCCTTCCACATGAAATTCCCTTAAAATCTGTCTGTCTTTCCGGCGTAGCTTTCGTGATTCCATTTTCCACAGATTTTATATTAAATCCAGTTAGGATCTTTCTGGTAACCGTAAAAGAAATTGCAAATTGAGAATAAAGCATTACTGCCTCAGCATCTGGCATAGCCTCTAAGCAAAATTCCAACGCAAAGAATATCTGCCACTGCCGCTTTCAATAACCAATAAAGTGATGTCAGAACAATAGAATCTATCCCATGCTCAAAAGTGTGACAGTATTTAATTGGTTGGTGTATTAGCGTTTCAATTTGCTCCTTTGCAAGGCTTTCAATGGAATGAACTTCTGTAGATTTGCCATTTCTATTACCTTCTTCCTATGGTTCTGTTTTATTCTGACTGTCTGGAAACAATAAAATCAACTGGTTAAATAAATGTAGTTAATATAGTTAAATGAAACGACATCACCTGTAGCAAAGGCCAATACGAACTTAAGATTTAAATGATGTTTATTCTGGCAACAGAAGCATAAAGTGTCCCAAATTGCATAGCAATCTTCACTCATATTTAGCAGCATTTTTATCTGATATTCAGCTGAATAGAATAGTTTCTCCCTTAGTGAAAAATTGGTGGTTTGCCAGACTGGTGAGAAATGTTTGCTTGTAAATTACTGTGCATGGACAAATACAATAAAATTTGTTTAAACGAAAGCTTTTTATTGCTTTATTTTCTAAAAATAATTACATTTCTTCTACTGTAATCTCAAGAATGTAAAATTATCGCAAAGAAATGTAAAGACATTATATTCTTTAACTAAAATGATACAAGAATCTAAACAGAGCTTGATTAAATGAACGAATATACAAGGTAATATATGTATATGTATTTCAATTGCCAAAATACATTTACTTGGTCCTTCTTCTTAGCACTTTCATACTTTAATTCGAGTAAATATAAACAATTAAATCTTCTTCTGAGCAAATCTAAGGCGAAAACAATTACTCCAAAATCAATTCAATGTCATCTGCAAATGAAAATCAATAGGTGTAAGAACACTTTTCCAGATTATTCAATAAGAATCATCGACTTTAAAATGACTTAAGATAATATATATATGTATAATACATTAATTATTAAGCAGTCTCCACTTAAATTCACAAAATACATAAAACAACAGAGCATATTCCAGTTTAAAACACAGGGAAACAAGAGAAATAAAAATCTGAAATCTCAATTAAATTGCCATAAAGATACCGAAGAAGTTTTTCAGATTTTACTAGCATTAATTTGAATATATTTATAACTACGTACAATCAAACCTGTAAACAACAGAAAATATTTTAAAAAATGGTCGTTATTTGGAGGTTACTAAGTAGATCTATGCCTTTTTATTACAAAATTCGAATATCTTGAACAGGTATGTACTTAGATAACATCTCAACTCGTTAAGCAATTAAGGCAATGCCTAAAGGGAAGCATTTTTTTCCATATCATTATTTAAAAATTATATTAATACGTGCCTTGAATTTAGAGCGAAACAAGTTCTTGTCAATGGACGACGTTCATCTTAACTATCTTGTGTTCTTTAACTTTTTAATGAAAGATGAATTATAAAAATACTCTTATTTTTGTACAGAAAAAAAGAGAATATTAACTCTGTAAAGCATATAATGCAAATTAAATAGAAGCGATAAACTGCAAACTTAAGTGAAATTTTATATATTATAATTCTTTTAAAAAAAGAATTATATATAACACAGAAAAAGCATGGCGATCGATCAAAAATGACCCCTTTAAAATTTTTATATTTTCGGACTAGGGGGGGACCTTGAAAAGTAGGAAAATGCAAAACAAATTCGGGTTATTTTTTCCCCTGTATGTATGGACGTTAGTGTGTTGGGGACACAATTTTGTTTTACCCTGTTTTAAGCTTAATAATTCCTGTTCTTTTATCGAAAATGTTTGTAATTTTGCAAGGAGATTTTTGTATTAGGGGTATTGATTTTGTATTATGGGTATAGTCCTGACCGAAGAACCTTGTTAATACATATATATATTACAGAAGAAATATATAAATTTTCTTAATTTGTGTTTAATTCGCTTTAATTATATATCAAAATATATTTATTTAGTATGAAGTTGCATTGTTTATGACGTTACATTAATCTCTCAATCCAATAATGGACACGCTTCACAAAAGAATGAAATATCGATTCCCCAATTTAACCGATTCTTATTTATCACTTTCAAAACTTTTACACTTTTCTCCTTTACATTATAAATACCCTTTGGCATTTTAAAAAGAAAGTTTCGTTTGTGTGACGTTTCATTAAGTCGACGTACGAAAAAGAATAGATTTCTGCACCGAAAATTGTTGCGTGATAATACACCGTGTTGATGTCTATGATAAAATACTAGAAATTATATTATTTTAATGATAATTATTTAATTATTTATTATTATTTGATTTTCTTCTTATTATTCTTATTGTCTATATCTAATAATAAAACTACTTTTAATACTTTTATATATACTTTTTCTTCATTGAGTCCGACCCTACACGAGATATTACAATTGACCCCTCTCTATCTTCCCATCCGGTCGACCTTTAACCACCAAAATTTAATGGTAACAATCCCACTAATACACGAACCTCCCTGTAAAATTTCAGAAATTTTCGACAAAAAGCACAGGAGTTATTAAGCTTCAAATTTGGTAAACAAAATCGTGCACTCCCCACACACACATACGTACAGAAAAAAATCCCTAACTATTTTTGCATTTCTCTAGGATTTCAACATCACCTGAGCCCATTTGAGGGGGGGTCATTTTATGACAAATTACATATTTTGCCTCTGTTAAATATAACAAAGAGTGAAGAAATATTTCTTTATTCACCGTTCTGAACTGAATGAGAACAGTTCACAAATATCGTAGGTAAGAGAAGAAGAAATGAACAAAGGAGAAAAAAATATTTCCTCTTCATACGGTTTCCTCTTCATACTTTTGTTTGATTGATGAGAAAAAAGCTTTTCTCGCATCTCTCATAATCATAACAATAATAAAAGACGACTGTCGAAAAAAATCATCCCTTTTTTTCCTCCAGAGAGATGTTAGGATTTCACCACTACATCAACAAGACACGCAATCTTCAGAATAAAGGATAACTTCTATTCTTATTGTGTACTACATACATATTATTTCTACTTTTTCTTCCTGTATAATACACCGAATAAATTTAAACTGTCTAAAGAGAAGTATAAATTAAAAAGTAATTTATATGAAACCTTATTGGGCTGCAATTTGAAAAAAAAAATTGTAGACATATAAATTCCCACATTCGTGGCAGACATGTCTGTCTGTCTGTCCTTCCTTAATCTCGAGATAGATGATGGACACGATAAAAGGGAAAGTATGACGTACAGGGGCAAGTCACAGCTAAAAGAACATGAGAACATTGTTACGAAAAATTGCAGCCCATAATCGTGACGATGTCACAATATATAATGGCTCGTAATCTGTTGAACTATTGAAACTATTAAAAACTATTGAATGTAGTGTGTTCTGTCTAGGGGGATGCCTTCTTTTAAGGATAATTGACCTATATTCAGGCTTTTTAGACGTGGAGAAAACCCGGAAGACTCCACGTCTTGACGAGGCGTGAATCCACGATCGAACTTCTAGTGTTCATAGAACGGAACCGCTTGGCCACAGATTTTTAAATGTATTTTCGATAATAAATTTCCTGAAAAATTAACAGAAACGTGTTGAAAATTCTTATGAAACTTATTTGTAAATTATTAAGAAAACCAACAATTGGCTGCTTAACTTTTCCGGCAACGTTTAATACTGCGTGTTTGATGTCATCTGTTATAATATTTTAAAAACTTTTTATATTTTTAATTATTATAAACTAGCAAAAATAAGCTTAATTTTGAGGGTAGGGATGGGTTTTATAAAAATTGTAAATACTAATAACGAATAAAAGAGTTATTTAGTCTGACCCTACTCGAGATAACACATACGACCCCCTTTATCTCCCCACTCCCTCGACCTATAACCACCAAAATTTTATAACGTTTATGTCCCTAATACGCAAACCTTCCTACAAAATTTCAGAAATTTTGACAAAAGACACAAGAAATTATTAAGCCTCAAAGAGGATGAACAAAATCGTGCTTTTCTCTCACACATACATTAACAGCCCTTCTGTGGATTCATTTTTTGACTGATCCATACTTTCCCTCTGTTATATATGAGTTGTAAATATATTATTTTTCATGTGTTTCATTTTATTTCTAATAACAAAAGGATCTATTGTAAATTTTATAAAGGAATATTTAATATTAAAATAGGTTTGTATATAGATGAATGAATGAGATGTGTAAATATAGGAGAAAAGAGTGAGGATAGAAGTTGCAAATAAATGTAAATCTCATAGTATTATATATTATTTTATATAAAAATTAAATATAAATCTATTTAAATTTTTACTAAAATTATTAATAAATTGAATACAATATTCTCTATGAAACAATTCTTTTACATTAATTCTGGTGATTCTCCAGGAATATAAAGCAACTAATTAGATCCAAGAGAATTTATCATGAGTATAAATTGATTGTATTCAATTACTTGATGTACATTTAAAGAAATTAGTGCTTACAAGTCTTTTTTTCAAGAAGAATAATACCCGAAAATCAATTTATAAAATGGAATGGTAAAAGAATAAAGTTAACATTTCATTCATTTTTAACGTAGTTTTTTTAGTCTTCCTTAAATAAAAGAAATGGCTCGAACCCATCATTAATTAATTCAAATTAAAACGTGCCCCTTTTATCAATGAAATTAAATTATAAAGATATAAAAAGACCCAACAGAATATCATATTTTTATTGAATTTATTTAGAAACCATTCGAAATTTAAATCTGTTTCGAATTATCTATGTGTCTCGTTTGTTCTTCCTTATTCGAATCTTCTCCTTCGATCGTTGTGATGTCATCTAAAGTATACACTTCAGTCATTGTCGATACACTTGCAGTTGTTGGATGGCTGGAAATGAATCGTTTCGGAAATTTAATACTCCCTTTTTCTTTGTCTATTACGTGATAATCCACGGTTTTCAAATATTTTCTCCTTTCCTCTTCATCAATTATAGATTTGTCTGTAACTTCTTCGAAATCTTCCATATTCTGGTTTAATCTGTCGAGTTTTTTCTTCCAATAAATTTTATTTTCTCTTCCAAACTTTTTAACATTTCGTTTCTTTAACCTTTTGTCTTCGTTCTGTATATTATTCTGCAATTTTTGTATATATCTAGTTGTTGCCTTTATATTCTGCTTTTCTTCTTTAAGAGTTTTAAAAATCTGACCTAGTTTCTCCTTTACATTCGTTTCTATAAGTTCCTCCGATAAAGTTTCTTCGTTGATGTCGACATTTCGAATGAATTGATTCATTTCTCTAAGAATTTCATCTGTTTCGTTCTGTTTATCTATATTATCGATATTCCTTTTTAACTGTTCGACGTATTCGTTTATGTCGTCTAATTTTCTCTTAATTCGATCGCTTTTATCTCTATGACTTGAAATTTCTTCGTTAATTTTATTAATTTCTTCGCATTTACAATAAAGTTTTCTTCTCGTTTCTTGTACTAAACGATTCAGCTTATTGGAAGATTTTTGTGAGGCTTTTATTTTACTTATCAAAGCATTGTTGGCTCGGATTGCATCTGTAATGAAATTATCCAAACACGTTTTCAAGTTCTCATTCTCTTTTCTCAACTCATCTATCATCTTCAACAAGTCATTCTGGGACGTATTATAGCATTGTTCATATTCATTGTTAGCAATCTTTTCTAAATTCTCTATTTGATCGATGGTTTTCATGTGTTTTGCATTCAATGATTTAATTTTTTCGTGTAATTGATCGCTTTTCTTTTTAACTTCCGAAATTTCTTCATCCTCCAGCCTCTTGGAATCCTTTTGAAGATGAGAAACGTTTTTCTTCAAACGATTTTTTTCTATTATGAATTTCTTCGTTTTAATGCTTAATTTTTCTTTTGTTTTATCGTATTTTTCTTCCTCTTTTCTTCTATTATCCATATAATTTGGTATAGATTCAATTTTATTAGAGAAAACTTTAAAACTCTCTACAAATTCAGGCATTTTCCTTTCTGTGTCGTTGATGAGAATATTTAAATCTGTCGTCGATAATTCTCTTTCTTCTCTCGTTGAACCATTCTGGTATCTTGTAAATTTTTTATTATATTTCGTATCTGTCTTATATATTTCATCTTTTATCAGATTTTCTTCGCTGTCGTCTGATGAAAGTCCATAATCTCTTTTCCACGAATACTTCGAAGATTGATAAATCTCTCGATTGGGTGTTGATGCAAAATATTCATTTACATTGTAGACATTTGAATTCTTTTCTGTTATATTTTCTTTTCGTTTAAAAGAGTCTTTACAGAAATTATTCCTGTTAATATCTTGGAGATTTTTCTTTCCAAATTCTGCATAACTGGAAACATCTCTAGTTAGAGAGACTCCATGCAAAATTTTCTTAGAGAAATTTGAATCTTCCATATTGTTTAATAGGAATTTTCATTCTAACTTCATCGTAGTAAAAGAGATATTTCAATTTACCTCTAACAATTATGTATTTAATTATTCTAAAACAATATATTCTTCTTCTATTATTATAAAGTTTATAAATTAATTGCCATACTCTTTAAATAATTTAAATTCANACAATCTTTCGTAACAAGAAATTGTGCATGTTTATCTATAAACTTTTAAACTTTTTAACCGATCTAAATCGAATTTTTCATCCTTATATTCTAGGAACCATGCATAAGATATAGGCTATTATGAAACGTGATCACCACACTTTCTCCTGGTTTTATCCCATTTCATCATGATAAATATAACAACGGTAAGTTAAAATAACCAAATTTTTAGCATGGTTTTCGTTTAAATGTGTGCTCTTATTAATTATTAACATTTTATTTATATTTAAATGTTTCAGAATTTTCATTCTAACTTCATCGTAGTAAAAGAGATATTTCAATTTACCTCTAACAATTATGTATTTAATTATTCTAAAACAATATATTCTTCTTCTATTATTATAAAGTTTATAAATTAATTGCCATACTCTTTAAATAATTTAAATTCATACGGGTTTTAACATCAACTTTTTTTGATATTAGACAGGGGTTGACATGGTCGATGTTGGTGATATTTCTATTGTCTTTTTAATTGTCTTGTTTACTTGTATTATGCGTTTAAGTCTGGAAGCTTCATTTTCTAGAGAACAACAGCTTTGATACTCGAAATAGCTTTAGTTGTAAGTATTCTTCTGGTGTTTCAAAGCCTACGACGTGTTCTTTCATTGTCTAGCCATATAGAAATGAACTTTGTCAAACTCCTAGAAGTGTTTTCTATGAAGAACAAAAACTGAGATCTATAACATCCTTGAGGAAAGCTGAAAGAAAAAGAGAATAAAACACTTTCTTTTTTTATGAAGAAACGAAAAGACTTGCTTTTTTAGTGATATAAAATTGAAATGAAATTGGCTAAATTCAACACATGATCTCCATTATCTCCCCACCCCCTCGACCTTTAACCGTCAAAATTTAACAGCATTAATCCTCCTAATACATAAACCTTCCTACAAAATTTCAGAAATTTTCGACAAAAATCACAGGAGTTATTAAGCCTCAAACAGGGTGAACAAAATCATGCTCTCCCCCACACTAATATACGTACATACAGAAATTACCCTCCCCCCTGGGAAAGTAAAATTAGAATGTCTGTACATTCTCTNAATTTTTAAAGTCGATAAAATAAATCAAACGGTGACACTTTATTAAATAATTATTTTTAAGGGTTTTAAAGCCGAGAAGTAATTCAAGCAATTAGTTATAAAAACAGCTGCACAACTGATGTCATTTTCCTTAACGATCTTTTAATCCTTCCATTAATTTCTTCTCACTTCTTTACTTCCTTTCGAAATTGGATGAAGATTTGTATGTTCAATTAACTCTAAATTTTTAAAGTCGATAAAATAAATCAAACGGTGACAATTATTTCTTATTTTTTATTTTAAATGGGGGAATAGTTTACAAGTTTTATCAATACTTTTTATTACTTACGATCTTAAAATTCAGGTTAAAACTTTTAAATGTTGCTGATATTTAAAGAATATTATTAAAAAATTGTAAATGCTAATAACCAGTAAAATCGTCATTAACTCTGACCCTAATGGATATAAACACAAACCCCTTTATCTCCTTACCCCGTCGACCTTTAACCACCAAAATTTATGAGCATCAATCTTCCTAATACACAAACCTCCCTGCAAAATTTCAAAGATTTTTGATAAAAAGCACAGGAGTTATTAAGCTTGAAAGAGAGTGTACAAAATCGTGCCCATGTACACTTATAGTACACAAACACACACACACTAACATCGATATATAAAGAAATTATTAAAAAGATAATCCTTTGCATATTGTTTGACCATTTTCCACGTCATTTTTGCTCTAATTCCAGTAAAATTGTGCTCTATTTTCACATTTATGATGCGTTTGGAAGGCCCACAATGGAATGATTTTCACAATGAAATTTGATTTACGTTCCAGTAATACAATTTGTACTTCACACTTGAATTATCCTTTATACATAAGCATATATAAATATTGAAAGTCTTTTGAAATTTTCTTGAAACTCATCTGTCAAAACGTCTTAAAAACTTTCAAAACTTTCCCTTTCCACTTCATCGTATGGAATATGACAAATATATTGATATTTCGGAGAAGTTTTTTTCTTTTTTTTATTTAAAGCACTTTCAACTAAACTGATTTATTTATTTCTCTTTGCTTTCTTCGATCTCATAACTTATTGATTTGTATTATAAGTATTTTTCGCCAGAAATAAACATAGAAAAAAAATATTTAATTTACTACAAAATAAACCTTATAATGTTTATAAATTCAAATACATAAAATTTATTTACTTATTTATTTATTTTAGCAGATTTATTATAAGTACAGTTGAAGCAATTTAGTATATTTGTTTACGTCAACGCAACACGTGGGCGAGCTGCCAAGGGGCCATAGGGGCCAGTTTCTCATAAAGTCCTGACGGGATGCCTCCTGTCAGGAGTTTATGAGAAACTGACTCCTATTAGATGTTACTAATGCAAAGAAAACCCGGAAAACTCCAAGCACGAACCCAGGACCAATTACACCAGTGTTCCGTGGTGTTATTCATCGGTCACTGATGGGCGCATGGTACCTCTTAACTCGAACGCTCCAGAGGTCGAATAACTCGGAATCCAAATACTTTTTTCGGGAAAATTTTCTTTTAAAAGTCGAACTTTGCTCAGAATTCCAACACAAAGATGACCGTGCTGTACAGTGGATTATATCTGTACGGGTACGCACGTTGTTGCCATGTTTCCAGATTTGGTTAATTTTTATTTTTATCTACTTGCTACTTTTTGGGCTAGAAACAATGAAAATCTGTTACTTTTGTAAATCAGTTGATCAAACGATAATCTGCCAACCAATCAAATTTCACGAAAAACGAACCAAATATTTAAACTCGGCACCCTCGAAAACCACTTAATCACTGCGAAGGCTGATACCTCGTATTATGTAATTTTCATATTCGAATGCCAACATCCAACTGGTTCCATAAAAATTCGGGGCAAAAGTAGTCGTNTATGAATTCCATGTTGTGCGAGTCACTTAGATTTTACAAATACGTGTGCCGGGCTGTGAACGGCTGGCGTATTTGTAAAATCTAAGTGACTCGTACAACATGGAATTCATATAAAACGGAATAATCAACAGTGTTATAGGGGGTGGTCGACTGTATGTATAGAATTTCTTAAAAATCTTTACAGTAGTTGCTTATCAGATTGTTTTTATAGAAGAAACTCGCAAGAAACTTTATTAAAAAAGGAAGAAAATTGTAGAAAATGATAGGTTTCTTTCTTTTAGATTGTGTTTTAACACTTGTAAAAATCGTTTGTAAGATTACTTTTCCCCCCATTTATTTTTCCAATCTTCAATTTCCATTTTTTTCTCTTTCTCTCTTTCTCTCTTATAAAATTGCTGTTTAAATTCGCTATAGATAAGAAACTAAATGTAATTTGTAACAATTTTTCCGCTTGTACAAACTGCAATTTCATCCAATTCTTAATGTGATAAAAGAATTTATGGACTTGAAAACAATAGCGATAACGTAACAAAATGGTAAATAATATGCTATTTAATTCAAAAAATAAAAAGTATATATTATATAATTTCAGTTTCTAAATACCGAAAACATAATAGTAAATGCGAATAACGAATAAACTCGTCATTGAGTACGAGCTCACTCGAGATATGACACACAACCCCGTTTATTTCCCCACTCCGTCGACCTATAACCACCAAAATTTAACAGCATCAACATCCCTAATACACACAACTCCGTGCAAAATTTCAAAAATTTTCGACAAAATACACGGAAGTTATTAAGCTTCAAACAGAGTGTACAAAATAACGTCCATACATACAGGAGAAATGCAAAAAAAATCCCAATTTTGACCGTATTAAAAAGCCTAATTTATTTCGAATTCGGAAAATTGTAATCAATTCATTTATTTTTTCTATTCTGCTAAGAAGAAAAGTTAATAAACTGAAAACAATTTCGAAGGGAATGATTTAAAATAATCTCAGAAAATCTGAATTTATGGTTTTATGAATGGTAATAAATTAAACAAAAAAAAGCAAATTTAATTTAAGCTGGAGAAAAAAATTAATTTCATAAATAAATTAATAAATTAAAATAACATCTAGTAATATAAGAGAATTGACTGAAAATTCTCTTCTAATATCATAATTCTTTAATATTTATGACCAAAATTACAATCTTTCGTAACAAGAAATTGTGCATGTTTAAAGAATTATGAGAATTGGCTTCAAGTCAAGTCATTCCGTGACTCCATATCTATCAAAATGAATGTAGATGAATGAAATTTCTCTTCATCTATACTTAATTACAATTATATAAAAATAGTATGAAAAATTTACCAAGTGTCTATCGATATTATTATTATTATACCTTTTAACATATTAGATATATCTATTTTTGAATAGATAACTTAATATAATTTACAGAAAATTTATTGTTATTATTATATCATTAATTAAATTGGGATTAAAATTAATCGTTTGACTTATAAGCATTTTTCGAACATAACCGCTTGCCCTGTGTTCTTTGAACACTGGGAGTTCGGTCGTGGGTTTGTGCCTCTCTCGTGGAGTTTCGGGTTTTCTACACCTGAATAGAGTCATTAAAGACCTCCTGTGAGGCATTATTCCCGGATGGCTCAGTGATTAAGGTAACCTACCTCTTTTCGTGACTCCTGATCAATTCGGACGGGTCAAAACACCTCAAGAACTTTTCGGAAATGGTCTGTTCTGGATCGTGTGTTCAACCATATCTACAATAGTGATGACTGAGTGATTCTATTGTGGACCTGGTCGAACCCATGATCGGCTTGATAAAAGGTCTTCTTAAGTTAAACA